TGTCTATTTTTTATCTTCTTTGGAGAAACATCTATTCATGTCCTTCAGCTGTTTAAAAAATTTGATTGTTTGGCTATTTGTTATTGAGTTCTGTATACACACACACACATATGCACATGAAAATATTAATCTTATCAGGTATATGACTTACAAATATTCTCCCCATTCTGTGGGTTGCTTTTATTTGTTCTGATATTGTCTTGTGATTCACAAAAGTTTTCAATTTTGATGAAGTCCAATTATCTTTTGTTTCCCTATGTATGCTGTTTTGATGTCTAAAAAAATCTTTGCTAAATCCAATGTCATAAAGTTTTCCACCTGTTTTATTTTAATCATTTTGTAGTTTTTAAATTTTACATTCAGGGCTGGGGATGTGGCTCAAGCGGTAGCGCGCTCGCCTGGTATGCATGCGGCCTGGGTTCGATCCTCAGCACCACATACCAACAAAGATGTTGTGTCCGCCGAGAACTAAAAAATAAATATTAAAAATTCTCTATCTCTCTCTCTCTCTCCTCTCTCACTCTCTCTTTTTAAAAAAAATTACATTCATTTCTTTGATCCTTTTTGGGTTAAGTTTATATGCTGCAAGGTAAGGGTCTACTTTCATTCTTTTGTGTATTAGATCCCATTTCCCTCCACTGTTTATTGAAAAGATTCTCCTTTCTCAGAGATTGCTTTTTAGGGAGTAAAATATCAGGAAAAATAACAAGCTGAGAATATTTAAATCAGACCAATTTTCAACTGATCCAACTTTTTGATTACATCAGAATACTTTTAATTGTTTTCTTAAGTCTAAATCCTCTTACATATAATTTAAATTACTGTCAATTGCACACTGAACTTAAGTTTTTTTCTAAAAGAGCTGTAAGTAATATCTTCTTTTATATTTTCTTAAATTATTGTTTTTTTTAAGAGAGAATGGGAGAGGAGAGAGAGAGATAGAGAGAGAATTTTTAATATTTATTTTTTTAGTTCTCGGTGGACACAACATCTTTGTTTGTATGTGGTGCTGAGGATCGAACTCGGGCCGCATGCATGCCAGGCGAGCGTGCTACCGCTTGAGCCACATCCCCAGCCCTTTAATTATTGTTAACTTAAAACTTACATGAATACTTTGGACAATTTTAAGGTCGTATTTTTATCTTATATTTTTTTTCACTAAACTTTCTTGTCAAATTTATTCTTTTAGCATTTCAAGGTCAATTATAATAGTTTTCTTGTTTTAACTGGTGTGTACTAAAACTCCTACCTTTAGATAATTTATGATAAATGCATTAGTGTTTATCCTCCCTCTTAAGGGCCATTAATGAAGATGCTAAAGATCATTAACTTAAGAGATAGATAATTCCCATGAGTGATAGATAGATGTACAAATTCTCTACACTGATCATGTCAATTTATGTCAAATCAGAAACTTTTAAAAGCCATTGATCAAAAGTTGAAGCCGACCCAAATGTGAAGATTGGAGAGATGGAGATTGCTTAAGATTAATTAAATAAATTTACTCTTTAGATATTTATGTCAGTTTCATTTAGGATATGAAACTTCAGCCAAATTTATTAGTAAACTTTACCCCTTAAAGACAGGTCTTTCTTATAATTATGTCTTTAAAAGGCAAAATTATTTTCCTGCTTGTTAAGTGTAAACTTGTGGGTGTTTTAGGGGTGGGGATTAATATATTTACAATTCTATTGTAGTGAAGATAGATATCAGCAACTGAGAATATACATATGATGTTACACATTTATATATTTAAAAATCAAATTTGCAAATATATATATATATTTGCAAATCAATATTACTATATGCCAAACAAGTGGTTTAGCAACCGTGTTTGTGTGCTTTCATTGCTGTGGCCAAAACACCTGACAAGAACAACGTAGATGAAAAAAAAGTTTAGTTTGGCTCACAATTTCAGTGGTTCAGTCCACAGTTGACTGACAACACAGTTGCTCTGGGCTGAAAGTAAGGCAGAACATCATGGCAGAAGAGTATGAAGGAGAAAAGCTACTCAGCTCATGGTACATTGGAAGCAGAGAGATGGGGGAAGGTATTTTAGGGAAGAAGAACACTTTCAGGGCATGCCCCCAGAGATCTGTTTCCTCAGAGCACGCCCCACCTGTCTGTAGTTATCACCCAGTTAGTCCTTTCAAAGTAGGATTTTCATGTCTGTTTCACAAAGTTCATGTCTGTTTCACAATGCAAAATGCATTTAGTTCACCCTCAAGTGTTCCCATAGTCTTAATTTCAGCATTACCCAATAATCCATGACCAAAGTTTCCTCCGAGACTCAAGGCAAACTATGAACTCCTGTAATGATCAAAAGCAAGTTACATGCCACAACCCCAGGCCCCACATTGTCTTTTCTCAAAGAATTTTTTACTTTCACGTCGTTGAGCCTGAAGTGGATATGGTCTTGCCAATTTCTGAGACTTTCTCAAGGTATCTTTTCCATTGTCTGTACAAAGTACCTATCAACTCTTTAGTGTTTATAATCTGTTCATTAACTGCATATTCCTTGGCACCAGTTTTACATGCACTTTCTTGGCAAAACTGAATGTTTTAAATAAACTTCTCTGCTTTCTACTCCTTATTCTCACAATAAACCTGGAAAATAGCTAATAACATCCACACCACTGCCTGAATGCTGTGCTGCCTTAAAATTTCCTTTGCCTGATTTGGGCCTCAGACAACGTTTTAAGACATGGGGAAAATGTGGATAAGAATGTTTGCCATATATAACATTAAAGGTCTCTAGTTTAATTTCCAATAGAATTTTCATTCATTCCATTCTGAAGCCTTTTGAGCACAGCCTTTTTTTTTTCTGCCTTCTCAATGGGCATGCTAGTCTTCTGAGCTAACACTGGATTGGTCCATTAAGCTCTCCTTACAACATTCTAACACTTCTCCAACCTGCATATCTAAAATTCTCCACACTCCTCCCGAAAACTTGTTAAAAAGCTTCTAAAAACAAAGTTAGTTTAGTTACGACAATGATCTTACTCCTGGTGTAAATTTCTATTTTAGTCAGCTTTTCATTTTTGTGACCAAAATACCTGACAAGAATGACTCAGAGAGCTGGATGTGGTGGTCCGTACCTGTAATCCTAGGGGGTTGGGGGGCAGAAGCAGGAGAATCAAGAGTTCAAAGTCCACCTCAGCAAATGAGAGTTGCTAAGCAACTTAGTGAGACCCTGTTTCTAAATAAAATACAAAATAGGGATGAGGATGTGACTCAGTGGTCAAGAGCTCCTGAGTTCAATCCCCAGTAACCCCCAGAATAAATAAATATATAGAGAGATAGGAATTTTGATTTGGTTCACAGTTTTAGCAGTTCAGTGTATGGTTGGCTGACTCCATTGCTCTAGGCCTAAGTTAAAGGAGAAAATATCATGGTAGAAAAATGTGGTGGAGGAAAGCTGCTTAGTTCATGCCAGTTGGGAAATAGAGACTGAGGAGGTGCTGCAGGGAAGAAAGCCTTTTTAGGGCCCACCTCCAGTGATCCATCCCCTCCAGCCCCATCCCACCTACCTATAGTTGCCACCCAGTTAGTCCACTCAAACCAGGATGGACCAATAAGGCTATGGTTTCATAATCTAATCATTTTACCTCCAAATATTTCAGCAGTATCACTGGAGATTTTGGTGGATGTCTCATATCTAAACCATAATGGCAACCAAAAAATATTATTAACTTTTCTTTTAAATATTGTTTTAAAAATTAAGTGCAGAAAGCCAAAACAGACAAAGTTTAAAATTTGAATCAAAAGGTAAATGAAATATGCACAGAGATAAGACTAATTCTTCTGGGATCATGAAATAATATTAAGTCACATATATAGCTAGATTAATTTAGGTTATGGTGGTTATCAGACAATATACATGAATATGAAGTTGTAAAATTATTGCACAAATTTATTAAAATGTTTCAATAGTCAGAATGGGATGAAGCAAAGTTGAGTTCAGAATTAGCTGTATTTTGAGAAGGCTAAAAGACACGAGGAAGGCAATGTAATACTATGAAAGAATGATATAGGAACTCCCTGACTTAATAAGTGAATTAAGTGAAATCTGATAGGCAGAGGGAATACTTTTAATAAAAGGCTTATAAACAAAAGAAAAAATATCAATACTATCTATTGATTTGCTAAAAACAATAACTTTACAATATATGAAAAAAATACCCCAATTGAAAAACACATCCTGATTATAGTACAATCTTGCATCTGTTTTTTGGGTTATGTAAGCTTGATTTGGGGGGGGGGAATGATAAAATACACAATTTATATAGACATAATTAAAGTAAAGAGAGGAGTAATGAGTACAGATTTAAAGTCACATGCTTAAAACACAGCATTATCTATTTTATTTTTACTTCAGATAATCAAAGGCAATAGCTCCATAACTTGCACATAGCTGCCCTTTAAGAGTGAGTAAGTTAAAAAACGTACCTCTTTTCTATACATTTCAGGTTGTTGTTTTAGAAATTGCCATGTATTTTTTTAAGTCTGCTATTTGAGTAAAATAATACTATTAGAAACAGAGAACTTTTACCTTTATTTTTCTGTCTCACTCCCTGATTTCTATGAAATCATAATCCCTGCATGCAGTATCATTTGGAAATTAATTGTCATGTTTTGATTTGTTTCTGTTAATTGACCATTTGAACTGTATCTATATGCTGAAAAGCATATAGAAAGTGACCTGTTCTGTTTTAGATCTTGACACTGATGATGTGGAATAGGCATGAAATCATATAAAAAACAGATATGAGAGATAAGAACATTTACCATTTTACAGCTTATATTTGATCACTCAATCTTAAGAGTATTAAATGAGAATTTGCCAATATGGGATTTTACTTAGCAGTTTAAGTTAACAAGCAGATAATTTTTTTCTTTCTTCTTCACCATTTTTTTTTGTTTGAAAAATTAAAGAATAGGAAAGGAAAATATAATCAACTCTAATTATTCTTGGTAACAATCTGCATATCCATCCACAGGTCTTAATGAAAGAAATCTTGGAGTGATAACCTGAAGTATGAAAGAAAAACATGAAGTGCAAAACTACAAAAGAAAACATACACAATAATACAAGACAATTTTGGTGTTGACATTATCACTATATAATATTTTGCAAATTTTGTTTCATGAAGCTCATCCTGTATTTGTTTCTATGACAATCACTTTTTACCAGAAAATACTTATTAAAGTGAAAAAAAAAGATCTTAAGTTCAATTAGATCTGCTTAATTTTTTTCATCTTTCCTGGTTTCATTGATTTTATATACCAGTCTAGCTTACTAGATTTATTTTCTAAAGAAACATCTTCATGCTTATTTTATAATTTAATCAAGATACATGCGTCCATTTTAAAGCACTATTCACATGTAGATTTTATAGTTTTAATGTATAATATGCACATTGTAAAAGAGTAATCTTTGTATGAAAATGTATGTAACTCACTTGTATGACATGTGAATTAAAAAAAGACATTCTATCTTTACTTGGGAAATCCTACACATATTTAAAATAAAAGACCAAAATGGAATATAAGGAAACTAATGAATTCAGAGTTTAAACTATTACTAATAGATATGAAAAAATTTAGACTCAAATTTTAAGTGCCAACCAAAAGAGATGCATAATTATTTAAAGATAAAATGCTTACATTAATGTTTATTTATTCGTGTTCAATAATTTTTATTTGAATACTATAATTAGAATTTTATTTTTCCTGTTTTTGAGTGCTATTGACATAGATCACACAGTCTTGAAGCATAGTTTGTCTTTATGGAGAAGTGTATGAATTTTTCGTTACAATTAATGTGTTATGAAGCGTTATTTCCTCCAGAGGGCAGTGCACTACAAACTCAGAAGGCATAGAGTACACAAAACACCTATGTTAACTTTAATGACAAGACAATATAACAAAATGCTTAGGAACTGCCAGAACTTTTGGATGCAAGATGAAAAGTATTATCCATCATCCAATTTGACCACATGTCAATAAAGTCAGTTTCCTTGATAGACATATTTTAAAAATTAATGACTAAATTGCTTCTATGATTAGACCCAGCTTCGGTAGATTTTGTTTAAGACTATAGCTGACAAAAGTGGTTCTGTAACTCTAGAAGATTGCTTCAAATAGTATGAGTTTCTTAAAAGAGAAATAGTCCTCTATGTTCACCCACACAATGGAAGGTACACACTTGATTTTATGAAGCAATTTTTTTTCTTGCACATAGCTCTTCAAAAACATTTTTTTCAGAACTACAAGGTAAATCTACTTCTAGCAAGTTATAAAAGCAAATATGATTTTTACTTGTTCAATGATAGTTCTTGCAAACTCCCCAAACCTTTGCAGTACTGTTAGGAAGCTATTTAATGAGTGCTAAGATACTTAAACCTCAAACTGGGTAGTTAAGGTGAGGACATTTACCACCTTTTACTGCCATTCTAGAGTACTAAAATACTTGCCAGGTGGTTTGCATATTTTTTCTTCATTTAATATTTACAACATTCCTAAGATTTAGTACTATCATTGTTACCTGTTACTAAAAGCTCAGTCCTTGTCTCTGATGCCATTTCATGCCAGTTAAATAATGAGGTACACAGTTTTGAGAAATAGGGGAAAGAAGGTTTATTGTTTTGCTAGTAAAGGAGAAACATTGGGGACTCCAGTCCCAGAGGCTGTAGTCCTGCCATCAGTGAAAATAGAGGGCTTTTAAAGAAGCTTTTCAAAGGCTACATTGGAGTATGCCCTGGCAGCGGGTCACAAATGCACTCTGATGGTGTGTTGAAATTTACTTGTTAATTTGGGAGATAGTCACTTCCTAGTGCTTCTGGTGACATCTCCTTCCTGTAGGCAACAGATAACTCAAAGTAATCTTTTTCCTTGCCGGCAGGTTAGAGAGGTGAGAGGAAAAAGAGGAAAAGAAAAAAAATTCTTTAAAAATAAGCAGCAAGGGCTATATTCAAAAGGTAAAGTGAACCATTGTTACAACATTTCATTTTCTATGGGTGAGGCAATGGAGTCAGAAGAAAATTAATCAACATTTTCAATTGTTTGTAGCTATTTGGTAATGATACCAGTGATGAGAATCAGGGTGGAGTCCCATTTCCCTGATGTTGAATATCGAACACCTGAGAAACACTGAAGGCGGCATAGAAAACAAGTTTATTTAAAGGATAGAACAGAGATAGACTTCTCCAGAGAGAAGGAACACCAGAACTGGGTGTCCATGAAAAGTGGGAGTGTCCTGTCCCTTTTATATATTTTAGAATTCCTTTCTTCTTATGTCCTCTCCTTCCCCATCCTGCCTATGTGACTAGTGTCCAAAAGGTTGTCCAAAATATGGAGTGATCCAAGGGCAGGAACAAAGCTTCCCAGGGGTATAGGCATGAAGGGAGCAGTCCAGGGGGCATTCATTAACCAGCCCTTGAAGGGCTGGATGCAATTAACTTTGACAACATGTCAGACCCCCCTCCCCACACACACACCATCTTTGTTATCCAATCATTCATTACCTACAGTGGCCGTCTTTTTGTACCCCAGTCTCAGTAAGAGAATCAAAAGGAAATCTAGGTCCTTCTAATATGAAACTTTTTAATAATTGGTATGTTATCTTCCAGTCTTGGAGTACAGGTATTTTGGGTATGTTCTGTACAAGTTTGAGTTCAGATAAATGTGTGTATAACAGTCACTCTCAAGGCACTGTCTCAGATTGCAGCATTCTGGGCACTTTTAGAAAGATAATTTCTCATGCCCTATGGCAGACCTACAGAAACTACCAAATTATCTACCTGGAGTAGGAACTACCTGGTGATTTGTTTTGTAACAAGTTTTCTGAGTGATTCTTAAATGTGCAAAATTTTTGAACAACTAGGATATAGATTTTGGTTAGAAATGCCTCTCTGGAGCCAGACTTTACAGATTTTAAACTTAAATCTACCATTTCAGCCATATGATATTGAGCCAGTATCTTAATGGCTTTGCCCTTCAGTTCCCTCATGTGTAAAGTGGGATTGCTAATAGTGGTTGTTACAGATATTAAGTGGATAATGCAAATAAGGAAGTGCCCTCCTTACAGAAGGGGGTCCCAAATATTAGCTAGGGCATGTCTTGGAAGGAAAACCCCCCAAATATCTTAATTTCTTCAATTTATTGTATTTTTTTGTATACCCAATCAAATAAATTATTTGCCTTTGCAGTAAAGTGTCCAGCTCTGTTGCTTGTATTTGATAGTGAGGGTTTTTAAGGCCACTCCTGTCTCTTCCCCTCTTGCCTCTCAAATGGAAAAGTTATTGAGAAAACTTGGCTGCCACAAGTTCAGACCACACAGCTGAATTCCCTGTTCAATCCTTCCTCACCCTCTAAATACAACAAAAGCAGAGCCTAGTCCTATTCTTTGCAGCCACTTTTGTGCCTGCTTTTCAAAGATGCCCAGCTCTTCTCAGGAATCCCCACTATATCCATAATATGTCTCTTCCCACCTCCATGGTATGTAAGTGCTTGGGGTGTCATTGGTCTCCACATCCAAACCAAATTTTGGCTGGTGTTGGCCCCATATCTATATTCAGGCATTCTCAACCAAGTTTGAGGTCTGTCTGTTTGATGTATTTTTCCAAAGTCATTCCCACAGATGCTATTTGAAGCAGATAGTTAATTAGGGGAATGCAAAAATTTTTGTTTTTGTGGTTTTAATTAAATTTTCTCTGAAATTATGAAAATTTCATAAACTAAAGAGAATTTTTTTAAAATTCTAAGCAGATCTCTTACAGTAAAAATATTTTAGAAAACTCTCCCAGGACTCCATTTTTCTATAAGACCCCTGAGTAAGCTTCAAATATTCATTGAAAGAAGGTTTCCTCCACAAGTGCCTTCCATTTTTAGATACCTAAAATTTGTCAAAAAGGACTTCAGCTGTGATGCAATAGCAAGACAGAGAACCATAGTGAGGAACTCTTGCTAAAAGACTTTGAACTTGAATCTAATAAATCTCTGTACCAGACCACAGATTTATAATATAAGAGATACAAAAGATACACAGTAAAGAATGCCATAAGAATATAGTTAGTTAATCAGAATGTGAGAAATCTTAATGCACAAACAAAAAACAGTTTCTTTGACATAAATATACCATATGACATTAAAAAGAAAAGAGGAATTGTTGTCCAGGAGATGTAGTAATATGGTTTGAATCTGGAATGTGTCTCAAAAGGCAATGTGTTGAAAGCATGGTCCCCAAATGTAAGAGGGTTCAGAGGTGGGGCTTTAACGCAATGACCGATTGGCTAATGAGGGCTCTGACCTCATCAGTGGATTAATTCCAAATGGACTACTGAGAGATTGGAGGAAATAGGTTCCTGGGGTGGTGCAGTGCCCTGCAAAGGTTTATCTCACCCCCTTCCCACTTCCCAGCTGCCATGAGCTGACAGCTTTCCTCTGCCATGCCTTCTGCCAGGATGTTTCTGCAATGGAGTTGGCAGACCATGGGCTGAGACCACTGTAACTGTGAGTCAAAATGAGTCTTTCCTCCTCTAAGTTGTCCTTGTCAGGTGTTTTGGTAACATGATGCAAAGCTGACTCATTGTCATATATACATACCATGGGATTTTATTCAAACTTAAAAGAAAGAATATAAGATGTTTGAATCAGTCAACTCATAGAAGCAGAGAAAAGAAAGTAATTTGCCAGAAGCTAGGAGCGGGGGTAAGTGGGAACATGCCATTCAATAGGCATAAAGCTTCAGTTACACAAGATGAACAGCATTGTGCCTTTAGTTAAATTAGTGTATTGTGTATCCCAGATTCATTAAAATTTTTTATCACAATTTTTTAAAACAATTTTTAACCTTTTATTTTGATTATTTAGTTATTTTTTTTTAATGTGGTGCTGAGGAGCAAACCCAGTGCCTCACGTGTGCTAGGCAAGCCTCTACCACTGAGTCACAATCCCAGCCCTTTATCACAATTTTTTAAAAAGGGTATTTTAAGAGTCACATCAGGCAAATTTAGTTTGTGCCTGGCTTGAATTTTTATTCAAATCAGTTAACTACAAGAAGGTAAATTTGACATAGCCAGGGAAAGATTAAAAAAAACGACCAAATAGTAGATAATAAATTCTTGTTACTTTGCTTGTTTGTGATAATATCATTTTTGAAAGTCCTTATCTGTCATAGATTTTCAGCAAATATTTATGAGCAAAATAATAGCATAGTGGAATTTGGTTTAAAA